TCCAACGCTGATTGGCACGCCCTGCCCCTCGCTGCCTTGAGGCAAATTGGTAGGCTGATGATGCATACACGCCCGCCCAGCCGCCGACACTGTATCCCTCCTCGTTCATGCACGATCCGCGCGCCGGTGGAGAATACAGAGGCGTCGGCATCGCGACCGGAGCGTGCGCCGCGGCCGGGGAACAATAGCAAGCGGGCAAAGACAAGCATTCTTATTGTCGTCGGTGCCTCGGGGCGGAAGTCGTCCCGGAAGACAAGGCATGCGGCTGCCCCAAAGCAGGCGTATGTCCGCAGACGCACGCACGCCTCCATCAAATTCGACCCTGGGCGCCGACGGTCGTGGTGCTCTGTCGTCGCCTGCAAAGACAGGTAGAGGTGTCTGCGCGCACTGGGCCGCGCACGTACAACTGAAACGACGTAACGCCCTCGCCATCACGACGGCGGGCGAGCGAGAAGAGCAAAACGAACCGCTCCAATCCGTCCACATATGGCACCGAGCGTGACGGTGTGACAGAGCCGACCCGAGACAGCGGCACCCGAAAGAGCGGCGCGAGGCGATCTAGCAACTAGCGCCAGCGCCTGCACAAGCACAGACGTGGAAAAAATCCAGGGCCGCCTCCTCTCACCACTCGCCTATATAGCCTACCCTCCCCGCCATGCCTTCGCCACTCCCCTTCCCCCTCTCCTCGCCGCCGTCGACGACGTCCACACCCCCGCCGCCGACAGACAGAGTGCCATGTTTGCCCAGTACTCCCCCCTCTTCACCTCTGGCCTTCTCTCTGGCCGCAACTCACCTGAAGAACCCCTCCCCTCCTCATCCCGCTCCGACTCCTTCCAGCAGCCCACAAAGAAGCAGTTCCACGATAGCCTCCCCCTCACCGTCAGCACCGCCTCCTTCCATGCTGCAGTGCGCACCCCCAACGGCGTAGAAGATAACGCCCTCCTGCTTACCTTTGTGCCCCGCCGCCGCACAGAGGAGGGCCGTTCCTTCCTCTCCCTCGATCTCGCCGAGAGCCAGTCCATGCGCTCCATGAGCCTCCGCAGGAAGGACACCGTCACCACCCGTGCTACCACCTGCGCAGTGGGCCGGTCCGAGCCAAGCTCGCCTGCTGCGAGCAGTCCTCCGTACGTTCTGTCTCCCATCTACCGGTGAATTTGACTGATCCACGTTTCCTCCAGCCGCCTACGCGAGCTCGTGTTTTCCCAGTTTGCTGTGTCGCCTACGGAGCTCAAGCCCCACGCGGACACCAGGCTTCGCCGGCCCTCGCGCGAGGCGCTTCGTCTTCCCTCGGCCAAACCTGCTCCCCTCGCGAGTCTTCCGGAGCCCCCACGCCTCCTCCACCGGCGCCGCGCCTCCAACCTCACCCTCACTCTGTCTGCCTGTCTGTCCACCGCTGCATCTGCGCGCTCTCCCGTTTCCCCTGGGCACCGCGCGTCGCACTCGGCCCCATCTGTCATCTCGCCCTGCCTGTCGCCCATGCTCTCGCCTGAGCAATCCTACTTTCTGTTCTCGCCTGTGTCCCCCCTATCGCCGTCCAGCCCTTCCGCGCCTGTTGCGTCGACGTCTCGCGTGAACGCTGTGGCCCCTTCGCCGCCGCATTCTGCGCCGGCGGCCGTCCCCCTCCGTGCCACACCGTCTTTCCGCTCGGTCGCGTCTGCGAATACCCGCCAGCGCAATCGCTCTGCCGCCCTCGCGGTACTTGAGGGGCGTTCCCGGTCGCACTCCAAGCCGCGTCCACGCAACTTTATGAGCATGAGCGACGACGAGGACGATCTGGACGAGGAGCCCCGCTTGGGGCAGAACAGTCGCCTGTTGGAGGTCCTGCAGGAGGACGAGGACATCGTCATCCCTTTTCCTCGCGAAGTCGCACCCGCTCCGAAGCGCGAGTCGCCAAGCGGCACTGCGCGGAGTAGCAGCAGCGGTGCGAGCTCGAAGCGGCTCAGCAAGGAGCGGCGGCGGCGGAGTCGGCGGGGGACGCTCGAGTCGCTCCTGCAGCCGCTCGCGAACTTCATCGAGTTTAAGGACGACGACCGCTCCTCGCGTGGGTGGCGAAGCTTTGTCGAGATCTCGTCGTAGGCTGTCCGAGTCGTGGCTTGATCTCTCGTGAACAGGGGCGCGTGTACATTTTGTCGGCCCGGCGGCGCTGGCATGTACCATAAAATCCGACCGATGGCGCAAGATCCTCAGTATTTATGTGCCCTGCGGCGAATTTTTATCTATGGCCCCCTCGGCATATCCTATCCGAATGCCTTTTAATCTCCCCCCGTCCTCATTATGGACGGCGCGGATATTGGTTGGCGGTGCGTGGGCACCGTCGTGCGTGCACGCGCATTTCCCTTTTGCAAGGCCGCGTGCGCGCTGCTGGCTAGGCTTCAGCCTCTGACACTCTTTACTATACTTTTCATTTATTGTGTTGGTTTTCACCTCGCTAATGATACGGACATACGGACCTGACATTTCTGTTCCGCCTTTTATTCCATTCCCGACCTTCTCCACATCTGTTTCGGTCGTTCGTCCATCTACCCATCCCAGCTCCCCGTTCCATCATCATACTGCATCACTGTTCTCCGCTATCTCCCCTCTCCTTGCCCGACACACATACACTACTGTGCTACTCTACTGCGCGCGAATCTTGTCTGTGCCACACTTGATGCGTTTTTCATCTTTGCCTCTTCTCATTGGCCGTCGTTGTACTTTGTTTTTCGTGGTCGTCGAGTAACTTATTGCGTGTGCGCGGCCTGCTGCGGCGGGCCGGCGCTGTACAGTATTGCTTATTAGCGGGCGGCAGCCTTTTTGTCGATATGACGTCGTCGAGTTTTACCGGTCGTTATGTGTGTGCGTGCGATGGATGACGTGTGCGGTAGTGTGGGTGATGATATCATACGCGCACGTGACGTCATTGGCATTGGCGCCTATATCCTGTAGCAGCCTGAGAGTCGCGAAGAATGGGGTTTTCGAGCACTCCATCCTCGGTTCGTCGACCGCCAGAATACAGTCGGAGAAGAAGACGACGACGTTGGCTTCACGGACACCTCCGATCGGTGCCGTGCGCATCGTCCGAGGCGCGTGCCGGGCGGATGGGGAACGTGCCAGTACTGAGGATGCATGTCCGACGGCGCACGGCGGCGTATGGCATCCGGGATGGGGAGAGGGCTGCGGGCGGCCGCGGCTGTGTCCAGGCAGCGCAGAGCCGTTTGGGTGGACTCCCCGCGAGTGCGTCGCGGACGTCCGTCCCAGGACCCTGCGGTGGGATTGGCACGAGCGTGCGCGTCGCTTCCGCTTAGTGAGCGCGGCCGTTCCGGTAACCATGCACTGGAGTAGGGACGGACAGGGTCGTTTGCGGCCTTCGTGAATACCGTTGCGGATACTCGTCGTGTACGATCGGGGAGCCCACGTCCGTACGCCTGCGGATGCGTCGGAGAGGAGAATGTCACCGAGAAGATGCTCTCCGAAAGGGTCCGATTTCAAGGCCGTTCGAAAGTGCTTTCCAGAGCGATGAGCGAGAGCACACCGCTTGAGATACCCGGGCTCGCTAAACGCATACTTGCAGGTGCTGGGACGTCTCGCACGAAGCTTGAGGCCAAAATAACAACGAGGTGCTTGACTGGGGGACAACACCTGCCCGGTATGGCAGGCGTCTTTCGGTACGTACATGAAAGCATCTCCTTACGTCTCGCTCGTCTTCTGGTGCCGTCCCCGCGACTCCCAGCCGGAACTGGCAACGGCCGCGGCTCTCCATGCAACTCGACCTGGAGCTTCACGCGGTGGACCGTGCGCCGCAGGCGACGAGAACCCCGCTGTTCATTTTGCCCAGCTTCGCGTTCAATTCCTGGCCAGCCGCGATCAGTGAAATTACGATGACTGGGGTTCAATTACCTGCGCGTTGGGCCTTGGAGAGGAACGCCGCCCCCCTCTCTTCGGGGCGCGCGTATGCAGCAGAAGTCGAGAAGCGGCTGTGGCGAGACGCGGACGGGCGTCGTACGCGCGTGGTTTGAATGTACCTTCGAGGCGACCGGGTGTGTGTGTGGGGTTGATGCCGAGGCCGAGGCCGACTCATACATATGCTGCTGAACAGTTCCCCGGGAGCGTGTGGTCTGCAGAAGCATCTGTTCGAACCGAACCAGCACAGGGGCGCCCGTTCATCCCACCGGCCAAGAGGGGTCAGTCACAAGTCACGACGAACATGATATGCAAGCACAGGCTCGTCCCTGGGTGTTGGCTATGGTCGGAAAGTGGGGACGGCGATCTAATCAAGTGGGCTATACGTTCAGGTTGAACGTTCAACGTTAACGTTTGATACGCTTGTTTTATTTAACACAAGCATCACCCTTCTCCGTCGTCTCCAAGGCCGAGGCGGGTCCCGCGGTGCTGCGAACTCAACATTCAAGTCGCAAGGTCTGGGGGTGATCTCTTGGGCTTGGATGGGGTATCAACAAGTACGATGTCCACCACCCAGCTGCCAGCTCCATATGTGTGCTGTGCTGTGCTGCCGCGGGCGTGTTGCATCTTCCTGGAGTGACCGTTGCAGCGATACCATCCGCGATGCCAGACTCTGCCAACTCGGTCACTCCAAGAAGGCGCTGTGGGATCGATCTAGGTCCCAACGCGATTATCACTTTGTGATGCACACAGGATTCCTCTGTGCGATGCGAGTCGCCGAGGGCCTCACTCACCACGCCGCGCGCCACGCCTGACCGCACGCTCGTCGCTCACAAATACTCTGACCACGCCCGTGCTCGAACCGTCGGCCCGCTGACACGAGCGAGCGTACGCCGGACGCCGGGCACGACAAAATCCCACTGCACAGCCCCAGTGCAATGAGGTTCATTACCACGCCTGGAATCAAGCAAAGCAGATCCGAACAGCAGCGTCTCATAAAGGCGCTCGGATCTGCACCGCAGTCGAGCTGGTCGACTGTAGCCTGTAGGTGGCAGACGGATACTGCAAGATGGTCGCAAGAGCTGTCACATACCGCAGCGCTTGGGCTGAGCGCAGGGGGCGCCCCAGGGTGTCCACGGTGCATGATGCATGCTTTATCTCCCTGTCGCCTGAAGCGCCTGCAATTTGCCTGCTAGTGGCAGTCACGGAGCCTTATCACCTTGGCATCATCCTAACGTATGTGCTAAGCACCGTATTTTTGAGACAGTGAGGCCATCATCAGTCGTTTGAACCGAGTCAACTTTGTTAGCTGCTACCCAAATCGCGCGACGCCTTCGAATACTTAACGGCGAATTAGCACAACATACCGGACAGTGAGCTCTCAGCTACTTGTCATTTGAGTGCCGGCGGAGACGACCCGACGGGTGCCTGGGAGTGAAGATGCGCTGCGCGTCTGTCTATTTCGCAGATATTTATAACAATACAGGCCTCGTTTCCTCTCGCGTCTGCCTGCAGCAAAGAAAAGTCACACACACGACACGAACGGCGAGTCGAGACCAGAGCGCACCGTCCAGCATGTACAGCTCGTGCGCCTCGTGCGGACGCCTCCCCGCCAGCCGTCGGTGCTACGAATGCGCCTCCGCCCGCGTATCCCCTTCCGTGCGCTCGGTGCGGCGACGCCACTGTGCAAGCATCTCCACGCTGATCATCTTGAGCCCCCAGCGGTCTGCGAAGCGCCTGCACGCGTCGCGGCGCATCATGCTCCCCGCGTCGTTATCCTCCACGAGCTCGCAGAGCACGCCCGCGGGCGGGAGGCCGGTCAGCGCGCAGAGGTCGACGGCGGACTCGGTGTGGCCTGGGCGCGCGAGGACGCCGCCGGGGCGTGCGCGGAGGGGGACCATGTGGCCCGGGCGCGAGAAGAGGTCGGGGCGTGCGCTGGGCGCCGCGAGTGCGCGCGCGGTGAGCGCACGGTCGTGTGCGGAGATGCCCGTCGTCGTGCCTGCCGCGGGCCCGGGGGTGAGTATGGGGCGCAGAGCGCACGGAACGGAACGACGCACCGGGGCGGTAGTCGACGGTCACCGTGTATGCGGTGCGGTTCGGGTCCTCGTTCTGCGCGACCATCTGCGGGATTGCGAGCGCGTCGAGGCGGTCGCCCGGGAGCGCGATGCAGATGTAGCCGCTGTGTGCGGGGTGGTGAGGGCGCGGAGGGCGCTGTCGTCGAGCGGACTTGCGCACCTGGTGTGTTTGATCATCCATGCCATCTTCTCTGTCGACACTTGGCTCGCGGCGATAATGAGGTCGCCCTCATTCTCCCGGCCCTCGTCGTCCATCACGACGAGGAAGTCGCCCCGCTCAAATGCCGCCAAGGCGTCCTCCATCGGATCGAACTCAAACGTCGTCCGGGGCGTGCCATCCTCGACCTCGATTGGTCTAGAGAGATTCACCGGTTGTGGGAGGTCGTGTGGGTGTCCGCCGAGCATGGCAACAGGAGAGCGGGGCTGTTTGAGGATGTGAAGGGAAGTCGTGTCGGACGCTTCAGTTGCAACGGGGGCCATATAGACGGGAAGGAGAGTAGGTGTAATGGCGGGGTCAGACCAAGCAGTATGTACGAGACGACTAGTGAGCTGTCCGAGTTATAAGTCTGTCCATTCCAAAGCCATTGCAGCGGATGTGTATAGAATGATGGTGTGAGACAGCACGGGACCTGAGTAGATTTGTGATCAGACGCTTGGGTTTGTACAGTCGATGACAAGTCCATTCTGAGCAAGACTTCAATGAACTCTGAAAGCCAGTGTGCTTATGCTTCAGTGCGTTCGATGTGCGAATTGATTCTAGCCGACGTGCCCCATTCTGGAGGCTTTAGGAGGGATTTTGAGAGGAAGCACTGGATTCGGGGTTTCCTATTTTGGAATGGCCGATCTGGGGTCAAGGTCGGCAGTGAGCAGCGTCAATTCCCGAGTACAGCGTCGACTCTAGCTGCGTGCTTGCTCTCAGGACTACGCTAGTGCACCATTAGCCTCCGCTGCCTGTGCGAGGTGTCGACTCTGTCCGAGTCGCTCTCCCCCACGTCGCTTCATGAGCTCACCGGAGGCTGCAGAGGAGGCCCGAGCGACTCACGACGATGGAAGTCCCACCCCCGACGACCTCGTCCGGCGCAGACACCGCAGCTCGCTCCCGTCATTCCTCTTCATAAGCTTCGTCCTCTTCATGCTCACAAACAACCGCAGCGAGGAGCTCGACGCCCGCTACCACTTCCTCAAGGCCCTCGACGCGCTCGATCACCAAGTTACCGACTACTCGTCGTGGCTCAACGGCACCGCCTCGAACTTCTCCCTCGTCAGTCTTATCTCGTATGGTTTCCGTGATAAGTCGGCTCTGATATCCGGCTGCGCACAGCCTGCAGCAGACCCCGGGACTATGCCGCTGGTCACCAACTTCACGACGCTTGGCGCGCAGCTCGACCCAGCGAGGGGCTCGTACTACTCCAACCTCACCGGCTTTTGGCACGGAAAGGTCGGTTTCCATAACCTCACACACACTCTTCAGGCGAACTTGTCAGCCGAGCCATGGAGCGGGCTTGCGGACGAGTTTGTCGCTACCACGAACCTATCTGCCGTGCCGAGCCTCCTGGGCTCATGGAACTGGACTTCGACAGAGAAGATCGGGCTTAGCGTGGGCGACAAATTGGTTGAGCTCACCGGTGGCGCGCGAAACGTATCCGGCAGTATCGCAATGATCCATGTCCGTCGCTCTGCTTCTTCCTTTCGTGGACGACTCGCTGACGGGCTGCGCCTAGGGAAAAATAGAGCTGTCGGACCCAAGCGAGTCCGAGGATCTGAGGCTTGATTTCGAGGGAGTCCATTTTGTAGCCAACGGCTCGATATATGCGTTCGCGAAGCCCCCAGGGTAGGTTGCAGCCCTGCTCTCGTGCAGCCCGCTGATGTCCCAGAAGGGAGCACATAGATCTGCGGTATATCCCATCACTCGTACCTGTTAAACATGTGAACGATACAGCACACGCAGTGGAGACCGAGCTGTCCACTCGAATGGCGAAACTGAAGGAGAAGATCGACTCGGGGGCCATCGACCAGGATGCTCTGAATAACCATGGTATCGCTGTATCCTCCTACACTTGTTTTGTGCGCATATAACCGTGTGATGTTCCAGAAGATCCTCCGAAAGGCCGGTGCTCGTTCAAGCTCTACGGACAGTTGGAAGCTACAGACATACCACAGAAGCTCATGGAGGAGCTGGAGGCTGAGATCGAGGAGCCCACGGGCATCTCGACTACGCGAGCACCAGAGCTGAAGCTCAACGGTGTGCTCATTAGCCATGACTGTGGGATCCTGTACGAGCTTAAGGATACAACTGGGCTAAAGTGAGTCATCGCACACTCCTTGCCTATCCCAATTACTTAACTGGTTGCAGATCCCCTCAGCTATATAGGAAGATTACGACATGTGAGTTTGTTTCTCGTCCGGTTCGACGTTTCTTCTCACTGGTACAAAGATGCCGGGATGGCCACCATCGTGTACCTTATTTTATACAAGCTCCTCTCGCGTGAGGTCGCCCGAAATAATTCAAGCGTTGCATTATCTCGACTCTCCCGCTATATTTTCCTCTCGCAGAGTCTCATTGATGCCATATCTTTCGTCGGGGTACGTGCCTCCATATTCACCAGCATAGGCAAGTATTCAATGGGCATACAGCATATCACCTTAGGAATCCTGGCAGATGGCAGGCCGTCTCTTGCGGTACTCGCCCCTGCGGGGATTGCTTGCATGCTCTTCATATACGAAGCGGTGCGCACCAGTACACCTAGGGCCAAAGTCCTCACATTCTGATCTACTCGTGCCGTTAGCAATTTTCCGTGTCAATTGGCCAAGTTCAAGCACCGGAAGACGTTGTACCGACTCCCCCGCGCCCTTCACCGGTACCAACACCTGCACCGGCTGCCCCTTCTCCTGCAAGCATCCCTTTGGATGCTGCTGCCGCTGCGCCAGCCAATAACGCATATCCCCCTCCTCCCGCTGTGCCA